TTCTATTGTTGCACCAAGTGAAGCTACCTCCTGTTAAAGGAAGATCATTAAGATTTTATTGTTGAACAAAAGACCTAAACAAATCCATGGAATGCCAATTCTGAGTAACTCCACTTTTCTCCTCTAGATTAAGATATGCATTGAAATCACCCCCAATGCAAACTGACATGTTTAATCTTTGTACAAAACACAATAACTCCCTGAAAAACTCTTCTTTTTCAGCCTCTACTGACGAGCTATAAACATTTATTATAACACACTCAAAGTTTATCACCTTGAACTTCCATGATAATGCCATGAATCTACTCTGATTATGTTCACGCTTAACTTCAAATAAATTCTCATTCTACAAGCACAACAAGCTACCTGCAGACCCATCAGCTGGATGAAAACTACCACCTTTCAACAAATTACCCCTTAATTTCCTCTTTAGCCCATTTTGACACTTATTTAGTTTCGTCTCCTATAAGAGTAGCAAGACCGATTTATTTCTATTTACAAGTCTCGCCACAGCTCTAATTTTTTCTCTTCTCTCTAGACCCCTTACATTCCATGAAATAATTTTAAGCTTTGACATTGTTGCCCCCTTTAAAAGTGATTTCCCAACATATTACACACCTCCCGAGTAGCAACAACTTCATCTCTTGCTTTAACAGAGGAATGGGAAGACATTGAAGAAGCCTTGTCTTGTTCCAAAGACTCCCTGACCTTGCTTCTATAATCCCTTCTATAAACTTTATCAAAGAATCTTATAGACTTATTACTCTCCGAGCACACACTTCCTGAAAGACGTGGAGAAATTCTTAAGTTATTTTGATTGCTGAAACTCTTTGACCGAGAAAGAATCTGCACATATTTTATGAAGGAGGACTTCTGATTTTCCTTTGCTTTAATTTGTTCTTCCATAGTGGACACTGGAATGTTTTCATCATGTTTCACAAACTTTCTTGCTCTTGAACTCGAAGTTGAGTAGCTTCCCATATTAAGGCTAAACTGAGTATTAGCCACATTAACCTTTTGGCCATAGAGTACATTTCTCTTTTCCCTAGCATTAGAAATCTTTGTAATGAAGACATAGTCCCCTTCTTGACTCCTCGGGTCAACTGAATGCTTCCTACCAATAACAACAACCTCTTCATTTGCTGACATTGTTTTTTCCCCACATGTGTTATACTTCACCAGTTCCTCTTCAACCTCCTCAGCGACTTCCACAAGATTAACTGAATTTTTGTTGGGTTGGGGCATAAATCTACCCATAAAATTCTCTTTCCCTATCCCAACCCATTTTAAATTATAAGCAGGCCCCACATGAATAATTTTCTTTATTGGTGAAGAAGAAACCTAATTATCATTCGATTGGGCCTGAGCATCCGGTTCAACTCCTTCCCTCAATCCCAAACCCACGTGATTCCCAATATGGTTTGTCCTCTCTTCCAAGAAATCTGACAGCCCACAATTAGAAGTCTCTTTGGTTGACTTTCTCGATAGGACCTGTCCCCCACTAACCCCATCCTCTTCCATAGACAAGACATCATCACTGTTCCATTCTTCTGAGATTTTCTCTACCATCTTCCCCTATAATTCTTCTGTTTTTTTCAAAATAGACCCCGAAGTTATCTTTACTTTAAACGATTTACCGTAAGAACCTATTGTAACCGTTTCAGGGACGTCAAAAAGACTCACCACCTTGATCAAAACTTTCGTCGGCGATAGATTCGCTCTGCTCTTTGATCCATCTTTAAAACATATAAATTTTCCCTACCTCCCAGTAAGTTTTTCTAGGAATGCCTCATTCCAGAATAATAAAGGAATTCCATAAAGCTCCACTTGGCAAAAAGCCAATGGAGCTCCCTCATCGTTCAACAATGGAGTTGACCAATCAAAGCAGAAAAACAACTCATTTTTCTTATTCATCCACACATTTGAAAACTCTTCAACCGACTTGAATATAATGATACAAGCATTTCTTTCATAACCCCATCTCGCAATCTTGACTTCAACTCCCTCGAACTCCAAGGCTTTATCAAATCCTGATCGAAAGATGATTAGATTATCCTTGTTAATGATCTCTTCACCCAATCCAAATTTTCTGAAGGAATATGCATATTCCAAACATTCCTCACTTCTTTTGCAGACTGCTTTAGACCCTCCATGTTCCCCCTGAAACTGGTTCACTTCTCATATTATTAATTGTATTCAAAACATCTTTTTACGATTTTCATCCCTCATGCTTCTCAAAGACTCAACGTTCCCCCCAATCTTTGTATTTTACTTTTATTGACTTGTTATCCAACATCATCTTGCCTTCAGTAGCTACCCTTCTCCGAGTATTTTGATACTTTGCAATCCCCACTTTGACTCTTCTCCCATCGATCCATGTTCCATTAACATACTCGATTGCCTTCTTTCTGCCTTCTTCACAAGCATATTGAACAAAAACAAAGGTTGAAGATTGGTATTTTGGTTTCTCTAAAAAGCTTGGTATGAATATCCTCACAACCTGACCATAAAGACTAAAATATTCCCTTAACGCACCTCTTGAAACTCTCTTACTAAGATTATCAACGAAAACAGTCCATTCCTAATCGGAGACGATGGACCCATTCAAATTTTCTCTTCACCCTCCTCATCGACTTCCACATGATTAACTGAATTTTTATTGGGTTGGGTCATAAATCTACCCATATAATTCTCTTTCCCTACCCCAACCCATTTTAAATTATAAGCAGGCCCACATGAATGATTTTCTTTATTGGTGAAGAAGAAACCTAATTATCATTCGATTGGGCCTGACCATCTGGTTCAACTCCTTCCCTCAATCCCATATCCACGTGATTCTCAATATGGTTTGTCCTTTCTTTCAAGAAATTTGACAGCCCACAATTAGAAGTCTCTTTGGTTGACTTTCTTTATGGGACCTGTCCCCCACTAACCCCATTCAAACCACTCTTCTGTCCTTTGTTCAACCACGAGATGACCTTAAGCCTAGATTCCTCTAATATCTTCTGATTTTCAAATGCTGCCCAGAGTAGGACGACAACCATCTTCCCCAATAATTCTTCTGGTTTTTTCAAAATAGACCCCAAAGTTATCTTTACTTTAAATGATCTGCCGTAAGAACCTATTGTAACTGTTTCAGGGACGTCAAAAGGACTCGTCACCTTGATAAGAACTTTCGCCATCGATAGATTTGCTCTGCTCTTTGATTCATCTTTAAAACATATAAATTTTCACCATCTCCCAATAAGTTTTTCCAGGAATGCCTCATTCTAACATAATAAAGGAATTCCATAAAGCTCCACCTGGCAAACAGCCAATGGAACTCCCTCATCGTTCAACAATGGAGCCAACCAATCAAAGCAGAAAAACAACTCCTTTTTCTTGTTCATCCACACATTTGAAAACTCTTCAGCCGACTTGAATGTAATGATACAAGCATTCCCTGATCGAAAGATGTTTTGATTATCCCTATTAATGATCTCTTCACCCAATCCGAATTTTCCGAAGGAATATGCATCTCCCAGACATTCCTCACTCCTTTTGCAGACTGCTTTATACCCTCCATGTTCCCCCTGAATCTGGTTCACTTATATTATTAACTGTATTCAAAACATCCTTATACGATTTTCCATCCCTCGTGCTTCCCAAAGACTCGGCTTTCCCCCCAATCTTTGTATTTTCCTTTTTTTGGACTTGTTATCCAATATCATCTTGCCTTCAGCAACTACCCTTCTCCGAGTATTTTGATACTTTGCAATCCCCACTATGACTCTTCTCCCATCGATCAATGTACCATTAACATACTGGATTGCCTTATTTATGCCTTCTTCACAAGCATATTGAACTAAAGCAAAGGTTGAAGATTGGTATTTTGGTTTCTCTAAAAAGCTTGGGATGAATATCCTCACAACCTGACCATAATGACTAAAATATTCCCTTAACCATAGTCACATGGATCGTGGTACGGGAACGTGAAATGGGATTGCAATTCGCTAGGTCCCTAAAATTCGGTACGAGGGGGGTAGACTCATTTTGGATCGCTCCGGTACGATGTACCATATAAATTGGTACGATGTACCATTTTCTTAGGTTGCTATTTTTCTACATCAAATTTTATAAGTAACTTAAATAGTAGGAATAAAATAAAAGAAATTAAAACTTCCTATAACTGAAATAACACAAAAAAAGGGATTTAAACAGATATTTACCCTTAACTAGAAACACGGAAATGGGGAAAAGATAAAATGATTGCGTTTTGCTTAATAATATATATATATATATATATGTAATCATATAAGCCAAAACGAGCTTATTTTCATTTTGTTTCATTTCTTAGTTTTGAGAGAGAGAGGGAGATATAATCGGCGCCTAGATTCCGGTAGATTTTTCGCCGCGTCATCGTATAAGCTTCAACTTCTTTCGTCTTCTGCGATTTTGGAACGTGTTCGTACCGAATCGTATAAGCTTTCGTATCGAATCGCGATTTTGGAATGACCTGGAATGCGTTCGTACTGCATTTTGGATCGCAGCGTACAGTTTCGTAAATCGTGGGCTATTGAGCGATTTATGTAACTATGCCCTTAACGCACCTCTTGAAACCCTCTTACTAAGATTATCAACGAAAACAACCCATTCCTCATCGGAGACGATGGACCCTTTCAAATTTTCTCTTTTTCTCTCACTACCTCTCACAGTCATTTTCTTTTGTTTTAGGAGTTTGTGTGCAATGTTGAAAATTTTAGGAGTTTGTGGAACTATCCTTTACCGTTGTGATTAGGCATGAGAGTCTTGTGAGTAATGGCTGTTGGATTAACACATACCTCAAGTAAATGATTGTTGAACATTGTCTTATGTTGTACTTAGGTGTTTTATTTTGAACTCTATGTTGTACTAAGGTGTTTTATTTATTATACTATCTAATGAATGTAAATCAGTAATAAGTTGCTTTGGTTTTCTAATTTCCCCTATGTGGTTGATAATGATTTCTTTGATTTTTATAGGTGCAAAATCTTCTTCAACAAATGGTGAGTTATAATTGGATCCTCTTTTGTTAGATTTTTTATTTATGTTGACGGAATTTTGTTTGCAGCATCTAAGTTTCAAACAATGTCTGATTCTATTATCACCGGGAATATCCTTTCAAATATTCCCTTAACGCACCTCTTGAAACTCTCCTAAGATTATCAACGAAAACAGTCCATTCCTCATCGAAGACATTGGACCCTTTCAAATTTTCTCTCTCTACCTCTCACACTCATAGTTGGATGAATTTATCGCAAAGAGCCTTTCACTTCTCCCACAAAGCAGTGAAAGAAGCTTAATTGCTACAGTGCTTATCAGTTGTGCATTTGCTTTTCAATCAAACCAATATATCTGCTTTTTTTAAATGGAAAATTAAAACCAAAGCAAATTTCTCGAACTTCTAATTTTTTAATTCTTTGAAGATTTTGACTTTGCATTATATTTCACCATAGCTAGTTTTTTCTATAGGAATAATAAGCCTCATTAAAAACCTCCCTCTTAGTTAACTCTAGAAAAGAATAACTAGAGGAAGGAGGAAAAGAGTGCTTTAATTTATTGAATAGAGAAACTATTACAATAAAGTACACCAATACATTTAGGGCATCAGAATAAAACTATAATCCTTAAAGTACCATATACAAATACCCTTACAATTAACCGATCCCATCCTTGGCTAATTTATCTGCTTCCCAATTACATCCCCTAGGAATCCATCGAATAATAACTTCCCTCTCTTGAACTAAGGACACAATATCCAAAATAAGTGAACTGAAGAAACTAGGAACAAAATTAGGCAACAAAATCCAGTCTACTGCAGATTTGCAGTCACTTTCTAAGACCAGTCTTCCCATTACAACCCAATCTGATGATAGAAAAATGTCTAAGCCTTTCTTAATAGCTTTCAACTCAGCCAACGGAGGAGAGCCTGGACCAATACAAACAGAGAAAGTCGATAAAAGGATAATATTACAATCACTCAAAATACTTCCAATTCCACCAGCCCCATCAACATTAAATTTATAAAAATCTGTTAGGGGAGGATGCCAACTTTGTAATCAAACTTCTGTGAACATTATGATAACCAAACCTGTTTGCAAGAGAGGGGTCCCCTACCAACAAATCAACTTGTATTTGGATATGGGGAAACTTAGCTAGAAACCATTTAGCCAATCTAAATCTTATTAGAAAAAAAGAGAGGTTATATCAAGGCTAGAATTATCAAACACAATTGAATTCCTTGCTTTCCAAATAGACCAAATAAGTACTCCTGGGATGAATTTCCATATGTGCGAATTTTTCTTTAATTCAGACCATGAACTTAACAAAACTTGTGGATCATTAGGCAAAGTTGTATAGATGTCCCAAATCTTTAAAAATCTATTCCAAAGATTCCTTGCAACTGCACATGAGAAAAAAAAGATGTTGGACTGTTTCTTCCATCTTTTTACAAAGTGGGCATAGGACGTATTCTATAGGAACCCCCCATTTTCTTCAACTCCATTTTTACTGCCAATTTCTTGTCTATGATTTGCCAAAGGAAGGTTTCTACTCTAGGAGGAGCCAAACCTGACCAAACCCACCTTTTCCAAGAAAAACAAACTCCTGGACTATTTAATAAAGCCAACCTGCAGGATTTTACCGAGAACAGACCGCCCCCCTTCCCAGACCAAGAAAGAATGTCCTCTATTGAATCAGATAAATTAAAACAATTTAGTATTGCCATTAGATCGACCCATTGGTTCAATTCCCAATCACATAAGTTTCTTATTGTTTGAATATTCCACACCCATCCATTTACATCAAAGCAACCAAAATCTGCCACCTTACCCCTTTTATTATTTGATAATGCAAAGATCCTGGGAAATTGAGTCTTCAAGGGTAAGTCATTGACCCAAACATCATTCCAAAACGAAATAGACTTGCCATGTCCCAATTGAGTCCTAGTATGAGACCTCAAACATCCTCCAATGTCATCATTTTTCAAATAATTTTTCACAATTCCTTTCCAAATCCAAGAGTCTTGAGTCGAAACAACGTTGGAAATTGACAGGGATAATGTACTAACATTGTGTTTGCTGCATATCATCCTTTTCCAAAGGAATTCTTTCTCATTTGCAAATTTCCACACTCATTTACCCAATAAAGCCCTATTTGTGATATTCAAATCCAAAATTCCGAAGTCACCATCCTCCAAAGGTTTACAAACTGCCTGCCAGCTAACATAGTGCATACGATTTTTGTTTGAGCTTTCCCCCTAAAGAAAGTTAGCCATCAATGTATTAACTTTCTGCCTTTGAGCGTTATTTTAAAAATAGATAAGAAAAAAATCGATAACGAAGATAATACTGATTTTATAAGCACCAATCTCTCTGTCATTGACAGTGAAGAAGCCTTCCAACCAGCTAACTTATTATTAAAATTCTGTAAAACCGACTCCCAAAGTACTTCAGAGTTTTTCTTTGCACCTATAGGTAAGCCATGATATTCCATAGGAAAACAACCCAATGTGCAGCCAATATCAGTCGCCCATTCATTTAAGGTAGCAACTTCAACATTTATACCAAACATATTACTCTTAGAAAGATTTAAGTGCAACCCTGTCATTAAACTAAAAATCCTTAGCACTCTTTTGATGTTCTGGATATTAGTAAGAGAGTCATGGTAGAACAGAATAAGGTCATCGACGAACTGTAGATGAGTTAAATGGAAAGGATTAATTGATCTTCCGATATCAAACCCATGAAAAAGTCCCAAATCAGAAGCTTTAATCAACATTAGATTTAAGAGTTCACCAATTAAATTAAACAAAAGAGATGAAAGACTACAACCTTGTCTTAACCCTTTTGCCATTGGGAATTCCTCAGTAGGAGAACCATTTACTAGAACCGATATTGATGCAGAAGATAGACAATAAGCAATCCAAGAAACCCATTTCTCCCCAAAACCCATAGCTTTCATTAATTTAAGGAGAATCGACCATTCCACCGTATCATAAGCTCTTCTAAAATCAACTTTGAAGACTATCCCCTTCCTACCTTGCTTCCTCCAATAATCTATATGGTGGACCAACTGCGAACTGATAAATTCCCCATATGTTTCTTGGAATGGGATAGACTCTGAGATCCCCATATGTTTACTGCTGGACCAACTCCTTATCTTCTTTTTAGTACCTTTTAATATTTTAAAAATTCCCTTACCTCCCATCATCTTCTTCAAATCAGCCAAGGAATTTTCAACCAAATTATCGAAACCTTTTTCCTTTAATAGATAGTTAAAAAATCTAAAAGGTTTGGGGCCCCAGTTCTGCCCATCTTCTTCCAGCACAATAGGATTATGGTCAGAGAGAGATTTGGGTAGAATTCGTTGTATCAATTTAGGAAAACCCTGTAAAAAATTGCTACTAACCAGAAAACGATCCAATCTTACCCACGTAGGAGACTCTCTATTGTTGCACCAAGTGTGCATACCACCTGATAAAGGGAGGTCAATGAGGTTTGTTTGTTGAACAAAGGATCTGAGCAGATCTAGGGCATGCCAATTCTGCGCAACTCCATATTTCTCTATTGGATTAAGATAAACATTCAAATCACCCCCTATGCATATTGGAAGGTTTAAGTTTGTAATAGAACTCAACAACTCCCTAAAGAACTCCTCCTTTTCTTCCTCAACAGACGGACCATACACATTAATTAATACACACTTAAACTTATACAACTTGAACATCCCTGAGATTGCTATAAATCTGATGTTCTTTTCTTCTCTTGTAACTTGAAAAAAAGTTTCATTCCATAAACACATCAACCCTCCTGTAGACCTATCAGCTGGATAAAAACTCACCTTGAAGCATCTTCCCCCCTAATCTTCTTCTTAGCCCATTAAAGCATCTTCTTAGCCCCTTATGTTCCATGAAATAATTTTAAGATTTGACATTGGAATATTAAATCTTAAAACCTCTCAAAAGGAAGACTAAATTACTCCCTTTCTTTCATAGACCCCTTCCTTTCCATCTTCATTATCTCCTCTTCTAACAAATGTGTCCCCCTTTGAAAGTAATCCCCCAACATAGTACAAACTTCCCTAGTAGCAACTGCTTCATTCACAGCTTTAACAGAAGAGTGGGAAGACTTTGAGGACGATATGACTTGTTCCAAAGATTCCTTGACCATACTTCTATACACCCTTCTATAAACTCTATCAAAAAAACTGATTAACACTTCCCCCTCTGAGCACACACTACCTAAATGACGTGGAGCAATTCTTAGCCTCTGATTATTTAGGCTTTTTGCCCGAGGAAGAAACTGAACAGGATTTTTGGAAGAGGACAAACTAGTCTCCTTTCTTTTGATTTGACCATCCATAATTAGTTCTGAACTAATTCCAACTTGATTCACAGAATTTCTCTGCCTTACACACGAGCTGGAAGAGCTACCCTCATTCAGGCCAATCTGTTTATCATCCTTAACCCTTTTATGCTTCTTTGAACCAGCCCTCTGTTGAACAAAGAATTTGCCTCTCAAAATCATTAGAATTCAGTGATAATTTCATCTGATTGGGATAATTTTCCTTATTGGTGAAAAATCAACCCCAATTTCATCTGATTGGGCTTTATCCTCCGGATCAAAAGTTTCCCTCAATCCCAGACCCACGTGATTCCAAATTCTGATTAATCATATTTTCCATAAAAATTGACAACCCACAATTAGCAATTTCTTCAGTTGACTTACTCGATGGGACTTGTCCCCTACTGACTCCATTCACACCACTGTTTTGGTCATTGTTCAGCCAAGATAAGACTTTATGCCTGGACTCCTCTGATATCTCCTGGTTAATAGATGCTGCCAAAGTAGGATACTGCCCATCCCCCTGCACAGACAGGACATAATCACTGTGCAATATTTTTGAAAATTTATCCTACGTCTTCCCCACCAATTCTTATGGTTTTTTCAAAACAAACTTTCCACTTCCTAGTAAGTTTTTTCATGAATGCCTCATTCCAGCACAATAGAGGCATTCCATACATCTCTACTTGGCAAAGGGCCAATGGAACTCCTTCATCATTCAGAACCGGAGCCAACCAATCAAAGCATAAACACAGTTCATCTTTCTTATTCTTCCATACATATGTAAGCTCGTCAATCGTATTGA